CCTAAAACCGTCATGAGTCCTGGAAGCATCGCTGCTGCAAGGGCCCAAGCACCATCTCCAAAGGAGCTTCTCACTTGAATGGCAGGAGCCCTTGCTCTGAGTCTTGGTGCAAGTTTAGAAAAGGTGAACTCAGGTCCTGCGCCTTGCCGAGTCTCAAGCCCATTTTCTGGAGCTCAGCCTGTCAGTGCCCAAGTATAGGTGCCAAGTTCCCAGCCAGGATGGGCTCTGCTCCTAGCGTAGCGTTCCCTTGCCCACTGGCCAGGCATTTTCCTCCAGCGTTTGACCAGTGCCTTCTGTTAGATGGACACAGTCTCTCAGGCTGGGGTGGAGGGATGCAGCTCTTTCGCTGTGGGAGGGGACTGTATGTGGCAACCCCCCACCGCCACACCATTGGAGAAGTTTATTTTAGTCCTGCCATGGCTGGTCTTTCTCCCAGTAAAAGGTGGGGCTCCTTAACTGGTGGTGGACGGCACAGGGAGGCAGGAGGGAAGGCCCGGACTAGGCCTGGAGCTCACAGGCCAGAGAGGACCCTTGGTGGCTTCTCTGCCTGGTAAACTGCTTTGTTTGGGGGATACCACAAGCATTTTTCTCAGGGCTCTCAAAAAAAATTGGCTTCAGAGACACCTGTCAGAGTCCAGGGGGTCAATACGTGAAAAAATGGATGGGGGGAGGGGGCTACCAGGTGGGAAGGGTGAGAAGAGCATCAACTACGATCTAGGTTTAAACCCGGGCTTGGAGAAATGAACTCACTTGTGCAGGCCACTAAACTAGTCAGTAGGGTTGCCAAGATGGGGGCCCACCATAGTCTGACCCCAAAGTCAAGGCTCTTTGGGGAGAGGAGTAGGTATGCGGGGAACAGATGACCACCGCTTCTCCTCGCCCCAAAGCCTGGTTCCGGTCACACTCCGCCTTCCTCCCGGGCTGCCGGACTCCACTGGCGATCAGACGGCGGCGGCGTAGACAATGGCGCTCTGTCCCGGGTGCTCCGGCACGACAGCTCATCCCTATGCAGTGACCGCCTCCCCCACCCAGGCCCGGCCGCCAGCCCCTTTCAGGCCGTGGAAGCCGCGGCGGCGGCGGAGGGGATTCTCACAGGCCGTTGGGCATTTGCATAGCCGGCTCGCCCGCCCCGGAGACATTGGCCCGCATTGTTCCCGGGCGGCGGCGGCGGTGGCGGGCGCACTGGCCCGGGCGCGCGGGGCGGCGGGCGGACCGGCTGGGAGCGGGAGGGCCAGACAAAGGGAAGGGGCGCGCGCAGAGCCGGGTGGCGGCGGTGGGGGGATCCCGACGGTGGGAGCGGAATATCGGGGTGAGGTGGGGGGACGCGGCTGCCGAGTTTGCCCCGGGACGGCCACCGCCCCGCACTGTGGACGCCCACGCCGTGTCTAATTCCTCCCCGAGTTGGGGCCGCCGCGCCCGTGATGTGAATCCCAATAGGGGGGATCTGAGACCTTTCCCAGGCTGCGCGGGGTTCGGAGCGCCGGGTCCTCCAGAGGTCAGGGAGCAGCTCCCTGCTCCCGGCCAAGGGGGCTCTGGCCACAAAAGGCTGAGGCACCCGGAGGCCTCTGGGGGACCTTGGGCCTCCTATCCAGATGTCCTTGGGCAGGAAACCCAAACAGTGGCTGCTTCCAGAGAGCCTTCGCTCAATGCCTCTGGTGACCCCAGAGCAGCCTGTCTCCCCCCATCAGTCTTTTCTGGGAGGCAAGCAGGGGCCATGTCCTCGTCCATCATTGTCCCCAGAGATCAGGCATTGGGGCTGGACAGAGTTCATGAGCAGGCAAGTGTCTGATTGTCCTGCGTTGAGAGTAATAATGGTGGTGATCAGAGGGGCTGTCCCTGAAGGGCAGAGGCCTCATTGTCCTGAAGGGGTGAGGAAGGAGTCCCCTTGGCCCCTGTCCCTGCCATCTCCTTGACCTGCTCATTGTCATCCTGTTGACCCAGCCTGAATGGATGGGCCACCATGTGGGGACCAATGATGCTGAGGTAGGGGCTACATAGGGAAGAGTGGGGGACAGGCTCGGTCTTATTTGAGCAGGGGACTCCAAGGAGCACTGTCTTTCCGGCCCTCTGAGCTCCCTGACTGACATCAATGAGGGGATGATCACCCACCCCACTCCACGCCAAACAGTGGCTCGGTCCTGTGAGACGGAACAATCTATGGAGGGCCCACCATGTGCCCTGCACTGGAGGCAAAGTACCGGGAGGGAGAGGAGGAAATACAGAGCGAAAGGCCAAGGGCCTAGTTTAGGAGAGTGCAGCCCTGGGCAGAGTCCCCTGAACAAGGATGGGACCAGGGTGCAGGGGCTCGTGTTATAGTAAAGCTCAGCGTCATTATTGCGTCACCAAAGGAGGCTTCATGGGGGTCATGGAGCTTGGAACCATCTGGCCACAGGATACACAGGGCCACCTCTCATGGGCCAGCCCTCACCCTGACCCTCCTTTCTGAGGGATATCTTGACAGGCCATCCTTGGACCTGTAGCCTGTTGTCCCTTGGAAGCTGGCTGGGCAATTGTCCTCTCCCAAAGAGGGCTCAGTTGTCCCTTCTCCAAGAAGCCTCCCTGGATTGAGATGCCCAGATGCTCCAGCCCAGGCTTGTCCCCCAGCAATGACCAGCCTGGGCTGGAGGTGCCCATTTTTTCAGTCCTGGAGAAGACTTTGCTGTAGTCAAGAAGGAACCAGCAGTAGAGTGAGAAGGTCAGGTTGTAAAATGTTGATGACATGAATAAATGAATATTTGTAGCTTTTCCCACCCAGAATGGGCTTGGGGCAGGGAGGGTCTCACCCTATCCTTGAATCCCCCCTTTCCTGAGAGTCTTCTTTCAGATTTCTGTTTCGGGACTGCTTGGGGACCTCTGGGGTGAGGGAAGGTCAGCTGGCTGGACCCAAGCAGAGCTGGGAGCCGAGGCCCCACAGGATAGAATGGGGGAGGGGGCCTCAGCTCTCCCAAACTCCCTCCCTCCATCATAGCAGGGCCTGACAGTGACTGGGAACCGTTTTGCAATCTCAGCAGTCATCCAGTCTCCCCGCAGCGTGCCTACTCCAGCCAGCAAAAGGCAGGAGGCTGTGGAGGAGGGAGGGGAGCTGCAGGGACAGAAGCACAGTTGGGCCCTGTGAGCGGGGATGGCTCCATAGAGGGCTCTCCTTGCTCCTCCCCTTCTCCTTCCCTCTGTGCTTGGCCTCTTGACCAGCCAAGCTCAGCCCCTCCAGCTGTGGTGAGGACAGAGCCCCGAAGGGGTCACCTTTTGCCCTTGTCCCAGGGATATGCCCCAGGAACCCCACCATTTTGCCTCCTTGGGCTCCTAGGTCTGAATGGTCTTGGTCTGGGGGCTGAGATGTCTGCAGTCATGCTCAACTCCTGCCAGAAGCCTGGGGTAAGGGCAGGAGAGGCCAAAGGGGCTCCAGTCCACTGGAGGGATGGATTCTCTGCTGGAGGACAGATCTGAAACCCCCAGCATCCTCATGACATGTAGTGGGTGGCAGAATCTCAGAAAAGACTTGTGGCATGAATGCGTGAGGACCAGAGCTGAAGCAGACAGGAGTGGGGTTGGGGTGTTGGAAAGACTTCCATGTTTGGCAGAGGACCAAGGAGGGGCATGAAGGCTGCATCTTCCTTTGCTGGGTCTGGAGCGCCCTCTAGTGGTCCAATGACTTCAGTCCAAAAGAGGCGCTGAGCATCTTCCTCCTCTGCCACAGCCCCAATCCACACAATGCCCTTCCTGTACCCTACTCCTCAGTGTCGGGACAGCGACATAAAGTGGAACCTAGGTGATGGCTGCTCCCAGCTTCTGAGAATTGGCTGCAAACTCCTTATGTCCCTCTGAGGCCCTGAGCCCTCTTCCTACTGTGCCCAGAGGCTGCCCCAGTGAGGGTCAGAGTAGCAGGAGTTCTGGACTAGGAGAACTCTCCAGCGGCCCAAGCTGTCCTATAACAAATACAGGTTTTCTGAGACAGAATGAGTTCCCTGTCCCCAGAGACAGGCAAGCCCAGTCTGGGCACTCACCTAGTAGGACATGGCATCCTAGAGGGAATTCCATGGACCCAGAGAGGTAGGATTTTTGTCACCACTAAAGTCCTTTCCTGCTTCGAGGTTTTAACATCGTGAAGTAGAAGAGGAACTTCCCGTGCTCCCAGGGCACAAATAAAAGGAGTCGAAGTCCTTAGTGACAGTGGCGTTTATTACCGCTGGAGAGCCAGGCCTGTGACTGTGTGATGCTGGGTCAGGGGATCAGCTGTCACTTGGGTGCCTCACCTTGGGCTCTGCTACCCATACGTGCAGGCTGGTAGGGCAGTGGGTGGGGCACTCGTGAGGTTCTCCCCCTAAGTTATAGCCCCCCCCATGCATAGCATCTCCCAGCCTTCTATTGTCCCTCTCCTGTGGAGACTCTGCCTACGGAAGGAGGCTGCTTCTAGCTCATGACTCCTTTCTTGCATCAGGAGGAATGGGAGCTAGAAAAGGACTTCCCGGCCGGGCGCGGTGGCTCATGCCTGTAATCCTAGCACTCTGGGCGGCCGAGGAGGGAGGATCACTCGAGGTCAGGAGTTCAAGACCAGCCTAAGCAAGAGCGAGACCCCGTCTCTACTAAAAACAGAAAGAAATTACTTGGACAGCTAAAAATATATAGGAAAAATTAGCCAGGCATGGTGGCGCATGCCTGCAGTCCCAGCTACTCGGGAGGCTGAGGCAGGAGGATTGCTTAAGCCCAGGAGTTTGAGGTTGCTGTGAGTCAGGCTGACGCCACGGCACTCTAGCCTGGGCAACATAGCAAGACTCTGTCTCAAAAAAAA